TGAGCACACAGATAATGAAGAAGTGACCTCGAAGCATGAGGCACAGATGGCTGATAACTCATCAGTCTCGGATGCGTTTTCATCCATCTGGGCAACGGAGAAGAAAAGGAATGAATCGCGCGGACTCACGGTTCGACTTTAGCCTCTATCATGAATGAGCATGACAAAGAGAGGTATGCTAAGCGGGGAGTAGAGAATTAGAAAATCGGGGCTAACTGTTAATGTCGTCGATCACGACATTCTGAAATTGCATCCATACATACGTTGATTGGAACCACACCATCATAGTGTTCTGCCTATGCGACCGCAAACTGTGTGTTGGGGTCTGTGTCCTTGCAAGATCTGCTGGGGTCTATCCTGCCAGGGACGACTGTCAGAGTAAAGCACCGAACGAGATACGTACGCACATATACCCATCATTGACACCGACCCTGGAGCCAGCAGATGATCGATGATCAGAAAGACAATGCGTCGCTTCACTTGATTATCTGTTGGCCCGGGTACGTGAGCTGTGGCCCAGACAGCTGATGGACCAGAAATTCTACGAGCCTGTGAAATACTTTGGAATGATTTGTCTAAGGAAACATGAGAAGAAACGAGAGTGATTGGACAAGGCCAGGTGACTGATGATACCATGGCATTGCTGAAAAATATATATTCAGAACCATGGCATCATTAGTCATCTGGACCAAACGAATGGAAAGCGAGGAGAATGGAAAGTAGAAGCAACCTGTCTGAGATCAGGCAGCCGATGGCCCAAGGGTTCCGCAGCATAAAAACTTTCGCCTTCTCCTGAACTAGTGTCCCTCTGGGTGCAGAGGGATAGGTGACGTGGGCAGGCGAAAATCTTGCAATGAACCCTGTAATCGTGATCATGATACAGTGACCTTAAGAACGGTGATTCTGGATGCAGGAGTGTGGAGGTGGAGGATGGGGATGTATTCGAAGATATCTTGTGGGGGCGTTAGGAGGTATCAAGATGTCTCCCATGTGGGCCGTTAGAATGACCAATAAGGAAGATAACTTGTGGGTGACCGGCGATATGCGGAACGAATCAATGGAAGGTGGTCATGAGGATGAGAGCCATTATGATCGACGATTTTATGTATCGATGGGGACACGAGGTATATCGATGGCGGGAAGTTTCCAGTTCGAACGTTCACGGAAGATGCTTACCTTGTGTTGATGAAGTGAAGCAGTCTCGCAAGAAGAAATGTGGCAGTGAAGACGACACTATGGGACTTGATATTGTCCCAAGTAAGCTCATTTTGTGTGCAAATGGCCAAATATATAGGGTGGGTGTGATGGCGATCGTAGTAATAAGTGAATATTTTTTACAAGATGAGGGCGTGGAGGGGCGCAGGCAGTGTTGCTGTCGAGACTCGACATTGCAAAAAGATACTCTAAATAGGTCCCATATAATGGAAGATTGATGCTATCAGTTCGGAAATTGGCTAACAGAACGTATATATGATAGTTACATGTGGATTCAAATCTGTGGTTAGTAGAGAAACGTTTTGGATATATTGGAAAATGGGAACGTTGACGATGTACCGTGTGGCCAGAGGACAAATACCTTACTCCGAGTCGGTTCCTTCAAACAATTTCAAACCCAGACCGGTGCCGCATGCACTTTCATTTCCGTGCTTCTTACAGCCTTCTCGAGTTACTTATGGATGTATCATGATGGGCTCACAACGTTCAATATCAAGCTCAAGCTCAAGTCCGAAGGTTTCGCAACATTGAGCTAGTGTACAATGATCTACGCAGCCTGGTTTTTGGAGGAACAAAATACCCGGTACGATGAAGAATGCTTTCGGTGTAGCCTTCCAGCGAAATGACGAGGTAGCAGACTATGTGACACTCTCCTTCTATCTGTGGTATTGAGGCCAAGTTCAGAGACTTGCGCATATGGCACCATAAGGGTGCATATTGAAGTGGCAGTCAGTCTCCCGCACTGCATACATATTTCATAAACATTTACCTCGTTATAGTACTCTCTCGTCCCCAGTTATACAGCGGCAGGCCCTTGCATTGGGTGCTGACTCGGGCCCACTTCTCCGAGCGTGAGGTTCGCGAGGGTTTGATGTGTTATCATGGATACGTACAATTGGTATACAGGGTCTAAGATTGTTCGAAGGAACCGAGCGAGGTTCGAATGATAACAGGGTATTAAAAACCGAATCAAAGTCTACTTTGATTGATTAATCGAAGGCTTCCACTTTTGCTTGATTTCGCATCGCAATACTTCAAAGCGGGCATCATTACATAAATATTCATCACCATCATGCCGATCTTGGTGATACAAGCGCTGAAGGGTGGTATATCTAGCACGAACACTAGATCATTATGACCCCCAACATCCCCCACTCGCTCACACCCATCTTTCGGATATGACTGTAGTCTCAAATGATCTCAGTTGGTGGCCGTTCATCAGTGCGGATATCTATTTCAGCTATTGGATGGGTTCGTCATATCAGTTGGTGATGTCTCGATCTAACATTGACTTGCGGTTTCACAGTTGCCGCCGGCGTCGTGGTCGTGTATGATTGGGGTGAGCAGGACAGCATTCGAAAACCCTAATATTCTCATCATATTTCCAGTGCTATCACTCGGACAAGAGGTAGGTCGGTGTTATTGCTGGAGTGGCCGACTTGCTAAGAACGGTGTCGTAGATTGAACTGATCTGGGTGAGTGACAGTCTTATGTCAGAAGAAAAGCAACGGAATACAATGAATTTGGGGCAGAGGCAACGCTGGTCTCTCATGACTGTGCTGTATCTCGCTGTTCGTACTTCATGTTAAGCTAAAGCGTGGTTTGCAAGTTGTGCTGACTCCAAAACGTTCTAGATACGTTATATTGAAATACCATATTGTGTGTATGTGTCGAGGTCAACAAGTCGGTGCTGTACTAATAGCCCATCCCTTGCTATCAGTACCAGCGTTCTGCGTATGTCTCATATGCACTGTGTTCGATCCTTCTGACCGGCGGCACAGCAAATATGACAATGGTCTCGCTGACAGATGCAGTGAATATTCCGCAACCACCTCATTCCCATCCATTGATTACACTCATATGTAGGGGTGAGTGAGATTCTGAAAACTGATTTTGGCTCAATATAAGGAATCAACAGGTGTGAGTCGAATATTTGATCCTAAGCTGAAGGCGATCACTAATTGGGTGTTTTCAGGCAATATCACGAACTACGCAGCAAATGGGACAAATATGGTCGTAGCTGTCATGTTGGGCGGTGAGTTACCCAGCAACAATACCTTGGTAATATTGACTCAACTGAAACATGATGTAAGTTATCGTGATTGCTCGGTTGCATGCCATGTATCAGGGATCTACAATCTTGCTCATCTTCCTTGTTATTATCTTCCTGGCTGTCAACATTACCTGCGGAGTAATCACGGTAATAGGACTCATGCATACTGTAGGGGGTGAGTTTTACTTGTTGACTTGAAGAACACATCTCATTAGACGAACCCCAGAGGAGCTGATACTCTCTGGCTTTCATACATGCGGATTTGAGGGGGATGCCCCGCTTCTGCCCTCAATGGTTTGGATGCTCAACACTGTCTGGGAGGTCCTCGCATTGTGTCTTTCAATCTGGATTGCTGTCAAACACTTCCGTGACCTGCGACGACTTGGCCCATTGAGAGGATCGACCATCGGGGACTGTTTCAGAGTGCTTATAAAATCCCACGTGCTTTATTTTGCAAGGTGAGCTTGTAATGTGAACATGCTCATCTTTTTCTGCTAAAGTCCCACATGTGCTAGCTTTGCTGGTGTCTCTTGCCTCCACCTCATTTGTCTTTCTCCAGGGCTCATAGTACGCCGACCTGTCGCTAACATCTGCTTCTAACCGCTCCTAATCATTTCTGTAGAATTCAAACTCTGTTGGAGTTCAGACACTCACTGGTGCTCTTCAAATATTTGTGGGCGTGCAGATGTTCGTGCTGGGACCACGCCTCATCCTTGGCATTCGAGAATATCACGCTAGACTCGTGGCCGACTCTGACGCAGAAACTAGCGTGATTTCGATTGTTTTCCAAGAGCGTGTACATGTGTCAACTAGCAGTACTGTGTAGGACAATGCTTGCCAAGTGTTTTGCATGGAGGAGATATTTCGTTGAAGATCCATCGTAGTATTTATTTTAGTTGTGATGTTTCAAAGTATATTTAGGACGATGTTTATGTAGAGAACCCCATTTCTTGTTGTATCACTACTAGAAGCCAGTGAACCGCCCGCCCACACTTGCACCGAGTAGCAAGCTGAATTATCCGAAACGTCTAGCAACCAAACCAGTCCTTGATGCCCAATCCTGAAATACAACGCGAATCAGTATAAATCAACAAGACAGTTGATTCTACACGTTTGCGGAGTTCTGCTGTCTGAGCGCAGATGATGATGAAGTGTCCGCGAAACATGAAGCTCAGATGGCTGATAGCTTGTCAGTCTGAGACACATTTTCACCTATCTGGGCCACAGAGAGGGAAAATCAATGCATCGCTCGACTGTATCATGGATGAGCATGGCAAGAGGATGAGGCGTGTCAAGCAGGAAGTAGAGTATTAGAGATGGGAGCTTCAATTTAGAAGCCCTCGAGTCCACCTGTCAAACTATTGATGAGGCATCGACCACGATATTCTGAAATTTCATTCGTATTTACACTATCGGAGGCGCGCCATCGTAGTGTTGCGCGCATCTGATTATATACATCAGGAAAACCTAGGTGGACTTAATTTGACTTAAATCATCCTTAAAGTGCCTTATTTGACTTATTTGCAACTTAAACTTGAAATTTCGGTAACTCAAAATAAGGAGAATCAGTAGGTTATTTTCCCTAAAATGAGGCTATTTTCCTTAAAATAAGGCGAGTGGCGCATTTAAGACATGTAAGGACACAAAAAGGATGCCATTAAGGAGCGTGCAGATCAGACCAGGAGCTTTAGATAAGGCAAAATAAGGAGGTTCGAAAGTTTAAGGAAGGTGGTTATAGCGTCCAAACAATAGAGCACACTCGGGTATAGTATGCATGCAGTGGAGCGGCTGGTTGAAAGAGCAGGAAACGAGGGGGAATGATGATATCGCGGTAGTATCTGTCAATAGGTTAGTACACCAATTGGGGTGATTCTGAGAGGTACTTACTCGAAAAAAATGATGTGTCCTCGAGGCTCCTGTTTAAATGAATAAAGTTAGCGGTTGAAAAAAGAGGAAATAGATACACATTACAGATACGAAGGTGGGAGCATTTGTTGACTGGGGCGGTGGAACCATCATCTGTTGAACTGCGATGATTGAAACATGGGTTCTTCATATAGTTTTCTGACTGCTCGAGAATCTCTTGGATGCATTCATGGGGTAGAGTCTTGATACTGTCCATGTATGCCAAAGTATCTGTCTCCCAATTTCCAGATGAAAATGCTGTCCCGGTATGGCTCATCTTATTAGTCACTTCGTTAAGTGTCTGTACAATCTTGTGAGTTTTACCACCGTTGTCAGCAGGGTTGCTATCAACCAACAACTGGTCTTTGACTAAGATGAGAGCGCGCTCAGCCTATGAAATATAGTTAACATTCCCCAACAATGAGATAAAAAAAACTTACTGCCACAGCTGTTAGCGCCAGTGCAGTCTGATATCCAGGCTTGCCAAATTCAACCAATGAATCCACCCTTACTTTCCCGGCGACTGCGGTGAGGTGTGCTGCAAAAATGCGTAGTATATATTCTGACAAGAAGGCACCGGGTTGCTCTTCGTTGTCAGGATCTTCATAAATGAAACGGCAATCCTGGAGTTGATACTCAGCGTATTCCTTGTGGGCTTCCTGAGTCTCATAATCAGGCGTTGAAGTGAAAAAAGCCATCAAAACAGTGATGGCTGTTGAACCAAATGAAGCTTGCCATTCGTGGATCCTTTGGCTTACCTGGGAGAAGTGAATCAGTAGCTGTTGCGAGTCAAAAATTGAATGCAAACCAGTTGAAAAGACAAGTCTTCAACGTCAAAACTACACCCTCCTTTGTTACACGGATACACCTCATAAAATATCGACTTGAGAACAGACTGGAGCTCAGTCTCTGGTACAGTCCATCCATGGTCGCTGTTACCAACCCAATACATCACACAGGGAAGGAACTTCATGTGCCATACTCCATTTTCAAGGAGTCTGCTGGGTAGGTGCGCATTTTTCGCCTTGCCTCTCTTGAGCTTCGCATGAATATTTTCTGATGCTACAGCCTCAGGCTCAGGCTCAGTCTTGACCTCTGCCTTGATCCTAGTAGTACGGCCTTTGGCCTGCTTTGTTGTGGGTTTCTGCTCTGAGACATCAACCAACATCTATCCGAGTATCAGTTCATCCCATCAAGATTGACCAATGACTTACAGAGCTTGTGCGTTGTGCCATGCTAGCCTTATTCACCACCATCATGGAATCACTTCCATCATCCTCCTCATCCTCAAGCATCTTGAAGTCTGAGTCTTCACCATCATCCAGGTCTTCGAGGTTCTCTGGTTCTTCATCAGCCTCCGGATCCTCCAGAATCTCAAGTTCTTCTGCAGCGTCTGGGTCCTTGAGTCCTTCTGCAGACAACTCTATTTCATCTGGGACTGGGAGTGAGCACTTCTTGCCTCTTGAGGTGACTTTTGGTTTCTCCTTCAGATGCACAATGTTCTAACTTAGGTAAGTATGTGTACACAGCTCAAATGACCACTGACCTTTCCCCTCTGCGCTTTTGGTGCTGGCTCACTGTATTCCTCAGGTTTGTCATCAAGGTCCACATTGGACTTGGTGGGTTGTGCTGTCTTGCCAGAGACTTGCACGCTTGGTGGTGCACTTGGTTTCAGCTGAGCTTATGACGCAACTTTCTCTGCCCAGTCAGGAATGGGCCCTGCAAGGTCAGAACTGATCACCTGCTTGAGATTGGTGCTGATACGGTATGCACAGATGTAATCAAAGTAATACAGAGTGAGTTCTGATAGAATCAGCATTGTAGCTAAAAGCGACTTATGACTTTTTAATTTTCCCATCGCCAATCATTGTTGTGCTCCCAACACATGTGTCACTGTCACTGGTACTGATTGTGACTCCACCATTGGACACCTTGTGATTAGCATTCATGCTGTCTCGAAAACTCAACTTCAATGCAGCATGTTTCTTTTTTGCTGGCTGACTGATCTCATTATCTTCAGCTGTGGTTGTTTGAGTGGTTATGCAGGGGTCAAAGTCATCAGAACAGGTAAGAAATTCAAGCGCTGAAATGATTGGAACTTGCCTGTAACTGCAGGTTGCTCAACCACTTTTGCCAGATTTGTGCTCTTTTTGCTGACAACCATGCATGGCCTGATGAGCTTTGGAGGGCCCTTCACTTGAGTCTTCTGCTGGATGGCCATGGCATCTTCAGCTGCAGCAATCATTGTATGTGATTTCTCCTCTGCCGCAGCACGATTAGCCTTCTCAAGTTCTTTCCAGTTCTTTTTGGCAGCAACTTCTTCTTTAGACCGGCGCTGGACTCGGTTTGCCTCCCAGACAATGTTTCCTGGGTGCTTGTTGACATTTCCAGGACGTGTTTGTGGACGAGACATGAGGATACCAGGGACGAAAAGAGAGAGATGCTAAAATGAACAATGAAGGACTTAGAAAAAAACAACCAGCTAACGTGTTCAGTAGTTCAGGGTGAGCCTTGGTTGGTTTTCCGTCAACTCAATCTGACCCAAAATGAATAAGTTCACACAGTGCCATTACTTTGATTTGCCCGACATCGCTTCAAACAATTCTGTTCATCATCTCCAATGAAAATGACCTTACTGAATTGTCGCATTCCTGGATGCAAAAAAACCTTCAGAAATAAGTCAGGCCAAACAAAGCATGCATGTATGCTCAGCACACCCCATGCCTTTGCACAATCATCCAAGTGTCCATCAAGCAGCTCCCATGTCTCGCTCTCCAAGTCCTAAGAATCCTGCCTTTGACAATCAACAGGACTTTGGCGATGCACATCTCTTGGAAGGTGCTGATGAAGCATTCATGCCGGAACAGGGTATACAGTTGGGGCCTCTATTCCGGACATTCCACCCGCATCTCACAGGTAACAAAATCGTGCAATTCATTTATTTAAATCTAACTTTTAACATACTAGGACGCAAGTGCAATGTCCATGGCAACTTCATCGACCAGAATGCCCTCCCACCACCTCAAACTGAAGCATTACCCACCAACTGGACCCCATATGAAAATCAGGTCGCATTTGAGACAGCGGAATTCCTCTATACACATAACCAAATGTCTGCGGGGCAGATTGACACCCTTCTTGACCTCTGGGCAGCCACACTTATCAAACATGATGACAGTCCTCTGTTCACTGGCCACTGTGACTTATATGAGACTATCGATTCAACTCCTCTTGGTGATGTTTCCTGGCAGACTTTCTCAATGTCCTATAGCAGAACCAGACCAGCTGAGAATGTTCCGCCATGGATGACTGCTGAGTATGATGTGTGGTTCCACGATCCACGTCTACTGGTTCACAATATGCTTTCAAACCCTGACTTTGCTGCCGAGATTGAATATGTCCCATATCAGGACTATACAGATGATAATAAACATTGTTACAAGAATTTTCTCTCTGGTGATTGGGCTTGGAAGCAAGTGGTATGTTATACTTCATGCCTTGAACCTACTGTTCCTCGAACTAATAGTATGTTGCTATACAGGATATTATCACATGGGATCCAGAAACTCATGGATCGACGTTTGTGCCCCTGATCATTGGCAGTGACAAGACTATGGTCTCAGTTGCCACAGGACACACTGAATACCATCCGCTCTATCTATCAATTGGGAACATTTTCAATGGAGTTCGGTGTGCACATTGCAATGGTGTGGTATTGGTGGGTGGGCTTTTTGGCCATTCCAAAAAGTGAGTCAGCCCCTTAACACACTTTTAAGTTAATCCTTCTCACTACTCACACTATAGGCACAAAGGAACATTTAGATGATAAAGACTTTCGCAATTTCCACCGTCAGATGTTTCACTCCTCACTTGCCAAGATTTTTGAGCCTGTGAAGTTGAATATGACAGTTCCTGATGTTGCACACTGTCCCAATAGCCATTATCGGCGTGTTATCTATGGGTTAGGCCCATACATCACTGATTATCCTGAGCAGGTGGCTCTTTCTGGAGTAGTCCAAAACTGGTGTCCAAAGTATGTCTCTTTTGCTATGAATTTATTGACTTGTGCCTCATACTGCTTAAGATGCTTGAATAACTGCAAAAATCTTGATGGTGACAGTGAACCTTTACTCCGGTGCAGACATCACACCAACCTCGTGGTTCAGGAGCTCCCACATGCCCACCTCTGGCACAAGTAGGGAATCATCCAAGAGGTTGTGGTATGTTGTTTGGTTCTCATTCACATTAACTTCTCAAATTTTTTCAGCCTTTCACGAATGATTTCCCTCGAGCAGATATCCACGAACTTCTCTCTCCAGACATCCTGCATCAAATCATCAAAGGCACATTCAAAGATCACCTTGTTGACTGGGTAGAACAATACTTGTTGCTCACGCACCGGGCTTCAGATGCAGCAGAAATCATGGATGACATTGATCGAAGGTACAGTTCTTTTTTTAATAAATTCCTATATATGCATTGGACTCAAAGTATTCTAACAGGATAGTGGCTGTAGCTCCTTTTGCAGGTCTGCGGTGCTTTCCAGAAGGGCGCGGATTCAAGCAGTGGACTGGTGATGATTCCAAGGCTCTGATGAAGGTATGTCATGTTGAAAGTTCATTATGATTTGCCAATTAACATTACAACTATCTAGGTATATCTGCCTGCCATCAGTGGTCATGTCCCTCAGGATGTAGTTCGCGCATTCAGCACATTCCTTGACTTCTGCTACATAGTCCAACGAGACACCCTTATGGAGGATGATCTCACCCAGCTTCAAGATGCACTCAGTCGCTTTCACCAGTACCGCGAAATATTCAAGACCACGGGAGTTGTACTCAACTTCTCATATCCATGCCAACACTCCCTCAGTCACTACTCCCTCATGATCCAGCTCTTTGGTGCCCCAAATGGCCTTTGTTCATCAATCACAGAGTCCAAACATATCAAAGCAGTTAAAGAGCCCTGGCACTGCTCCAGCAGATACAAAGCATTAAGCCAGATGCTTCTCACCAACCAATGCCTCGACAAAATAGCTGCAGCCCGGAGTGATTTTGAAGCTCGTGGCATGCTTCGAGGGTCGTGCCTGTCCAATGCATTGCGGGCACTTAGAGAGAGTGAGTGTATGCTCAAATACATGCTTTTTCAAGTGTTCTAACTGATATCATGGAGGTAATGGCGAGTTGCTGGACAACAGCACAGATGAAGATGAAGATGACAATGATGCACTTCAAGCACGTCCTGACCATTTATGCCTCAATGAACCACAGAATCAGACTGCTGAGGGAGACTTGGTGGACATCATTGATGGACCTACTGTCCAAGCTCATGTAGAACTTGTGGTGGCACCTGGTAAATCTTTGTCTTTAGGTCACACAAACTGTTTGCTCAAAATTCCTAGTGCCAGGTTGTTCACCTGATGTCCCTGCGCTTATGCTTGATCTCGACCTTCCAACCCTCCCTACATTAATCCAACAATTTCTTCATGACCAGCTTCATATCAATGACAATGAGCCACCTGAATTTGACCCTGCAATGGCACCTACTTACATGGGCAGGGTTTCTGTCTTTAGTTCAGTGGCAGCATCATTCTATGCCCCCAGTGACCTCAGTGGCACTGGAGGCATGCAACACGAGCATATTTGGGCAATGCCATCATGGTGAGGGGGTCCTGCTAGGAATGACTGTGTCTTCGTCAGTATGAATGACGAAGTCAGTTGTGGCTTGGATGGGCTTGCTATTGCAAGAGTATTGCGTTTTCTCGGCTTCAAGTATTGGACGAAATACTTGCAATGCGCAGTCATTCGCTGGTTCTCATATGTCACAGACAGCCGAGATCCTGACACTGGGATGTACCTTGTTGCACCATCGACCAATGACGATGGGATGCCAGATGTCTCAATTATTCATATTGATTGTATATTCCATGCAGCTCATCTTATTCCCCTCTATGGTTCCAATGTCTTACCTCACGCAATCACTCTTCACGACAGCTACAACGTATTTCGTGCCTTCTATGTCAACAAGTATGCAGATCATCATGCATTCGAGGTAGCGTGACATGCAGGTTCGTCATCGTCTTCTGTCCCCCCCTTGTGGTTTGATCATTTCACAGGACTACCTATACCCTGCAGCATTATTACGAGGACTATCTACACCCTGCAGCATTATTATCTAAGTAGTGGGACATGCAGGTCCGTCATCATCTTCCATCCCCCCCTCATGATTGATAATTTACCAGGACTATCTATACCCTGCAGCATTATTACAGACTATCTACACCCTGCCAAACCCGGTTATGTGCCTGCTTCATCACACACCTCCCCCGGTTATGCGCCCGCTTCATCATGCACACTATCCATACCCTGCAGCATTACCACAAGACTATCTACACCCTGCCAAACCCGGTTATGTGCCCGCTTCATCACGCACCTCCCCTGGTTATGTGCCTGCTTCATCATGCACCTCCCCCTGTTATGCACCCACTTCATCATGCACCTCCCCTAGTTATGTGCCCACTTCATCATGCACCTCCCCCAGTTATGCACCCACTTCATCTTCTCTTCTCACCTGTGCTGGTATCAGCATGGCCTCGCCCATTCCACCACACTCAGTTGCAAACTCAGAGAACCCAGTGTAAGTCTTGGTTGATTTTCATTATTGACAAGTGATGAGAACATCGAGGGCATTGCTGACTTGCTTGCCACAATTAAATGAAGTGGCAGTGATGGTGACGATCATCCATCACACAGCCTCCAATACTCAATTCACCACCATGGACATTAACACATGCACAGAAGATCCTATGGACATTGATTATTGAGCTGAAGATGAACAGTTCAATCTGGTGAGTTTTTATGTCTATCCCACTGCACCTTTAATGTATTCAATTTTCATCATTGCAGGCAGACAACATGGATGTCAACGACACTCAGACGGATGAAACAGTATGCTCACATGTTTTTTTTTTCACTTGTTCTAATTCTCGTCATCGCAGGCAGATAACATGGATGTCGACGACATTCTGATGAATCAAAAAATGGTATGTTTACGTTTTTTCACTCATTCTAACTATATTTTCATCATTGTAGGCCGACAACATGCACATCAATGACACCAATCAAGTCACTCAGGATGCTATGGTGTTCCTTTACTCAACCAAGGTATGTTGATCTTTTCGTTTTGCATACCTTGCGCTTCATTATGTGTCACAGACTATTGTGATCTTCAATGCAGAAGCCTTCGAATCGTATTGTTTCGCGGCTCTCTTGATGTAATCCATGGCATGAAGACACATTCTTGGATCTTAGTGATGCTACTCATGCTATGGCGCTCAACCATTTTTTCACTTAGCTCTCTCATTGTATAAATACCTACCCTCAGATTGTTGCATGCTTACTTTGCTTGCAATTTTTTTTTTGCTTATGCCTCCTTACTCATCCTTAAATTCCTTGTGTTCCTTAGTTCAGAGTGTGATAGAATTCATTAAGTCCCTTGAGCTCCTTTACTGCCTTATGATGTACACTAAGTCAAAAAAGGCACAAAAAGCCCACCCATGTTTTCCTGATGTATTGTGCATTGGGTTTGCATCCTTGCAAGACCTGTTGGAGCCCATCCTGCTAGTAAGCACAACTGTCAAAGTAAAGCACCGAACGAGATCCATGCTCATCATTCATCTCAGCTGCAGAGAAGGAGTGCCAAATCGTGCATGAAAGGTAGAAGCAGGGTGTCAGTATCCTGGAGACCACTGGTCAACTGACTGGGCATTGATCATCTGATTGAATCAACCCATCGCTGACCACTTTCACATAGTTATGTCTTCAACAACAATCATATGGTTTCGAGAACGATTCAATGATACAGAGCATGATTGTATTAAACTTACGGTTCAAGTGGTTACCTCTATCATGGATGTGCCCATGTATATGGTAAGGAGATGTGATGAGCCAAGTGGGCAGTAAAGTGCACCTGGCAAGACATTAGTAGGGCGCCAGTTGTCTGAGCATAAAAATGTGTGCAATCATCCATCTGGACTGGGCATGTGGAACCCCATGCAAAAGTTCTGTGAAGCAAGAAAGTCAAAGCAGCCCACCTGAGCTCAGACAGCTGATTGTTACAGTTCCTCTGTTCTTTTTCACCTTGTCACTTAAATCACATTACTAATCATTCTCAGACATTCTACCATGTTCCATTATATGATTCCCTTTTCTTTTTCTGATTCGCTATTTACTTTCAATCTCTGATTCATTTATTAAAGCTCTGCTTTAATCACCTTATATATACTCTATTCCTTATGATTGTATTCTTTAACTTGACATACACAGATCAGGGCCTGCAATATACTGCTTAACTTGCACGACTCATGAATAGGTTCACACTTTAGATCATTTGTTTCTGTCTAGTTGTTCTTACGAATGCTGAGCATAACAAAAGGTCAAGTTACTTCACTACTGCACAGTTCCCTCAAACTCATGCCCAGAACAGAACACCATTTCGACCATTGCACTGACTCCTCCTGGTTTCACCTGGGACAAAGAAGAACAAGAGTTCTTCTGTATAGACACCAAAGGCACCAGATACTCCCTTGACCAGTGGGCAGCATACTACACTAGTTTAGCCCCGAAGAATAAAGTTTGGAACTTCTTTACCCAAACCTACAAACAATCAACCACCACCACGATGCCCAAAGAAATCAGCAAGACCCCCTCACCCTTCAACAGCAACACCTGCCTTGCCCAGGGATGGACACTTCAAGTTGAGGCATACCTAGACATGAATGATGAAGTATATGATAACAACAAGAAAAAAGTTATCTTTGCACTGAGCCTCATGACTAAAGGCGAAGCCACTAAATGGGCCAAAGGCCAATTGAAGGCTGCTGTAGCAGCCAAGACTTACGGAACCTGGGAAGATTTCACTAAGCAATTTAAATCTACCTTCTTTCCCAAGAACATTGAACAGACAGCGATTTGTTGTATCTCCTCCCTTAGACAAACCAGCAGTGTAGCCGCTTACACATCCCTATTCCGAACCATCCTTGCTGATACTGGCATTAACAAAGAAAACACCAAGATCATGTTCTTCAGAAATGGCTTAAAGCGCGAGATGGTCTCTGATATTTACACCTTTGATACCACCCCTACCACCATCAAATCCTGGCTAGAGAAAGCCCTAGATGTCAAGGTTCATAGGACCTTAACAGCACCTCCTTCCTATACCAAGGCACACGACCCCTATGCCATGGATATAGATAAAGTAGAAGTAGACAAAGAAGACAGTGAGAGGAAGACTAGAAAAACTTATCTAACTCCTCAAGAATGGGAGCGAAGGTGCAAAGGTGGCCTTTGCTTCAAATGTGGCAAGAAGGGCTTAGCCGCAGACTGCCCTAACCATCCCATGGTTACGACCAACACCAGAAAGGTAATCAAGGAGTCATCTGACAACAATTACAAAGAATTTCAAGAATGGAAGGCGTTTAAAGCATGCCAGATGAAGAAAGCTGGTAAGAAGCCGGTTAAGAAGGAAGAAAATAGCGATGAGGAGGATTTTGCTTAGGGGAGCCTACCATGGTGTTAGACACTCCCAGAATCGGACTAGTAGTACAATCTGTTGGTGATACTAATTCTATTCATTTGCCCTTAACCATCAGATTGAAGAAGACCAAGAAACCACTGTAGCTGCTGCTCTAATCAATTGCAGTGCAGAAGGCGAATTTATTGACGAGAAATTCATACTCAAAGAAAACATTCACACACACAAACTTGAAACCCTGATACCTGTGCAGAACATAGACAGCATGTTAAACAAAGCCGGAAGAATCACACAGTACTGTGAACTTTCATTCTCGATCAAAGATATCCAAATGCAGAAGCAATTCTTCATAACCTCTCTAGGAGGAGAAGACACTATCCTGGGAATGACTTGGCTAAAGAAAGAAAACCCAGATATTGATTGGACTAGCCAAGAAGTCCACCTAAGGGAGCATACCCTGAAAAAAGCAACCATCAAAGAAGTCGAAGATGAAGACGTCTTTTACAATGCTCTAGAAGAACTAGAAGATGAATGGGACCCCACTAATGAAAATATCCCACACCTTTTAGATCCCATCAATGACAATGTTGATTTTTACACTTATATCTGGAAAACTGACAACATTTCACAGACACTCGCCCAGGACACTGCCAAACCAAAGAAGACCTTTGAAGAACTCATACCTGAAGAGTTCTGTCAATATAAGGATGTATTTGGTGACATAGCTAATGGAACCTTACCCCCAGAACAGAAATATGACCACAAGATTGACCTCAAAGAATCATTTGAACCGCAGAAATGCAAAATTTATCTGCTTAACACAAAAGAAGACAAGGCCATGAACAATTTTATTGACAAACATCTAGCTAAAGGGACGATTGTCCCTTCTGAATCTCCACAATCTTCACCCTTCTTTTTTGTCAGAAAGAAAGATGGTTCCCTCTGACCCTGCCAGGATTATTGCTACCTGAATGAACACACAGTTAAAAATAACTATCCTTTACTGCTAATCTCTGATCTTATAGATAAGTTCAAGGACACCAAGATATTGACCAAGATGGACATCAGATGGGAATATAATAATGTACGCATGAGAAAATCTGATCAATGGAAGGCAGCTTTTGCTACTTCTAGAGGACTTTTTGAACCCACAGTCATGTTCTTTGGAATGTGTAATTCGCCCGCCACCTTCCAGTCAATGATGAATGACTTGTTTGGAGACATGATCCAGGAAGGATGGATTATTATATACATGGACGATATACTCATCTTTTCTAAAGATGACAAAACCCACCACATCTGTACTCACAAAGTACTCCAATGACTCTGCAACAACCTCCTCCACCTTAAACCTGAAAAATGCACCTTCAATGTAACTGACATTGAATATCTCAGTATGATCATTAAACCTGGTTCTATCGCCATGGACCCCGCTAAACTGAAAGGTATATCTGAATGGATGACTCCCACAAAAGTGAAAGAAGTCCAATCATTCCTTGGATTCACTAATTTTTACTGGCGGTTTATTG